AGCCACCTGCATCCACAGACTTCCTGCATGTCTTAAAAGGTCGTCACTCCATCTAGTGGAGGGTCGCCCTACACTACGCCTACCTGTACGAGGCTGCCACTCGAGAACCTTTCTTCCCCATCGGTTATCGGTTCTTCGAGCTATATGGCCGGCCCATTGCCACTTCAGCTTACTAATCCGTTGGGCTATGTCGGTCACTCTGGTTCTACTGCGGATATCCTCCTTTCTAAGTCTATCACCCAGAGAACCCCCGAACATAACCCTCTCCATAGCTCGCTGAGAGATCTTGAGGGTCCTCATACGGCCGGCAGTGAAGGACCACGTCTCAGTTCCATCCAAGTCATCACTGGCAACACGCACTGGTTGTACAGTCTCGTTTTCAGGTTTTGAGGTATAGCTGACGAGAACATGTATCATGATTTCCCGAACGCTGCCCAGCCGAGTTGAATCCGTCGATTCACCTCTCGGTCGAAGATGGACTTACCTAGTCGGACTATTTGTCCCAGGTAAACGTACTTGTCAACAACTTCGAGCATAGTGCTCCCAACAACTACCGGCATAGGTGTGACATGGACTTTAAACACGATCTTTGTTTTGTCCATGTACATCTTAAGACCTATCCGTTGGGAGACACCATTGAGGTCATTGAGCATAGTGCTAAGGTCCTCCAGCGATTCTGCCATAAGGACTATATCGTCGGCAAATCGAAGGTGAGTGATGTACTCGCCATTGATGTTAATACCATATCCTCTCCAGTCCAGTAGCTTGAAAACGTCTTCCAATGCAGCGGTGAAGAGTTTCGGGAATATAACGTCACCCTGTCTTACAGCTCTCTGCAGTTGGATAGGTTTCGAACTCTGGTTCTGTACTCGGATAGCCATCGTAGCCCTACTGTACAAACACTTCAGCACTTCGATATACCGACAGTCAACTTGGCACCGCTGAAGGGGCTGTAGCACTGCCCAAATTTCGACGGAATCAAAGGCCTTTTTATAGTCCACATACGCCAGGCAAAGTGGCAGATTGTACTCTTCGGTCTTCTGTACAATCTGCCGAAGGTTATGTATGTGGTCTATGGTACTGAAGCCTTTTCGGAAACCGGCTTGTTCGGGAGGCTGGAAGTCGTCGAGTCTGCGTGCGAGACGATTCGTAATGACTCTCGAAAACAGCACGTAGACGCGGCTCAGAAGGGAAATCGGTCTGTAGTTCTTCAAGAGAGCGTTGTCACCTTTCTTAAAGAACAAGACCACCGCACTTCTGCTCCACGGCTCCGGAGTAGTGCCACCATGAAGGACGGAATTGAAGAGCTTCTGAAGGACTTCAAGTACCGGTGTTCCACCCGCTTTCAGAAGCTCCGCTGTAATTCCATCCTCGCCTGGGGCCCTGCCGTTTTTAAGGTGCTGGAGAGCCATTCTAATCTCGCTCAGACTGACGTACGGGATATCATCGGAATAGTGTCGGATAAAACTTGCTCTTGGATAGTTCCTACCACACTTGCGTGTGGTTCCAACGATGATGTGTACAGCTGCCCATAGAACCGCTCAATTTCATTCAAAATCTCAGGTGGATGCTGCCACACTCAGTCTTCAGCTTTGACAGTTGGCTCTTTCTGGCAGAAAGATATCTGGCAAAGACTTTGGAGCCCTGGTTCCGCTCGATCGCTTCTTTAATACGAGCAGTATTAAAGTTATGTAAGTCTCGCCGCATGCATTTGGAAATCTGTCTGTTCTCATCTCCCGTCTAACCATGAGATTAAGAGTGAGATCGGAGAGTTTTTGTGTATTTCTGCGGAGGGTCTTGCAGAACTTAGCTCCGACCGCACGGACCGTTTCCACGAGCTTGTCATTCATATCGTCCATTGCATTGCAATCTTCTAGGCACTGAAAGCGGTTACGTAACTCGAGCTGAAAGGTTTCTGGATTCTGGATTAGAGCACGAGGCGGACGGAGCATTGACTTCATTAGACGAGCATTAAGTTGGACTTAACGTTTATGTTCAGTGTGCCTCTAACCATTTAGTGATCGCTACCAGTTTTCACCCTTGCGATCACTGAGACATCACTGAAAAGTTGGCGTCTGGTCGTAATAATGAAGTCAATCTCGTTTTTGTCGAACCGTCGGAGCTCGACCAGGTCCACTTCTGGGGCTTCTGAAGAAGGTCATCATAAAAAGTCCCTCTTTCTCCATAAAGTCGGCCAGCTGCTGGCCCCTTCGGTTCCGTTGCCCTATCCCAAATTTCCCTGACTTCAGCTCATCGGTTCTTTCTTGAGCCCAGTTTTGCATTGAAGTCTCCCATTAACACTGTATAGTGAGTTTTGGAGCAATGCATGGCTCTAGAAATATCTTCATATATTTCCTCCACCTCCTGATCGGGATGTTTCGACGTTGGCGCGTAAATTTGTATGACCTTCAGCGAATACCGTTTGGTGATTCTGAGTATAAGGTACGCAACCCTCGTCGATACACTCCCAATCTTTAAAACGTTGTTAACGAGAGACTTTTGGACGATAAATCCAACACCTCCTTGGGAAAGATGGTCGCCCTCCCGGTGATAGAACAAGTTGCCGGATTCGAGAATCACCGTGCCCTCCCCCTCTCTTTGGACCTCGGATAATCCTATAATATTCCAGCGCAACTTGTCTATTTCTTCTTCCAGCTCCGGGATCTTCTCGTCAGTCCTCATGGTGCGTGCGTTAAATTTTTCCAGCTCGAGACGCAGGTGGCAACCGAACCTCCACCGGAGATTCTTAGCCTCCCCTGCCCCGCCGTTACCATGGTCGCCACCTTATCAAGGAATAGCGGGGCTGCCGGGGACTGGGGGCCGTCTATTTGTGTAATTGTTCATGGGGGGGTATGTCGCCATAGTTGCCACGCTTGGCGAGCGGGTTGGCAACCGCAGTTTTTTTTTTGTTGTACAGTTACTGCTATCAGGAAGATGCTGCTGCGCATTTCCTGCCTGTTTCCCCCTGTCGCCTTTTACGACAACCACGGGAAGATATGGGGTAGTGGATATTCTCAACCGCCACTACACGGTAATACATATATATCCTTGATTAAGAGTTAAAATGTGAATGCATTGTTATCTCTGAGGAGTAAGATGGAATGTCTCGTCCCAAAAGATATAATACTACTACTAAAAAACGTGCCAACGAAAAGCATTATCCTGCTATTTTACGCCGGTATTGTGTGCGAGCGTAGTCCTCGTGGTGGTGGCCAACACGTGCTGCAACCTCTTGACTCTTCCACGTATAAAATACCTATGTTAAGTACTGAACATATAGTCACAGCCTATATGTGAGTACATAATATTACGTTTTATCTCGGTATATTTAGTTGTAAGATTTGCATGCCATTGATAATGGCTGATTAAGTGGATGTTTTATCAGTATGACCATATTCAGTGTACCTTAACCAAAGCAAATAATATTTCATTTCATTTCATAGTCATTTCTGATAGGGTTACCGCTACCGTTGCAGCCTATCAAAAGTTCTTTCCTGAGCATAAAACATAGATCCTGAACATAGACAGAGATCTATCTTTGCCATAGATTACCTTATAGAGAAGATTTTTTTATTTTTTATTAGAAAGACCTTGATGCCCATCTCCCGGTCTGTTTCTGTCCGTCGCTGCTTGCGACAGCGACGGGACGACATGGGCTAGTGGAAATTCTTACAATACCACTACACGATTTACTGATTCACCAAAATATTTATAATTACAAGTTTGTAGGTTTTTTACGACGTTTTTTTAAACGTGGGGTGTACAAATTTAAATATACATTCACATTTATACCTTTTCTCTTAATTGAATATTATTGTATTTGAAGGTAACAACTATAACTTTGTGATTCCCCGCACTCATGCCAAAGTGTCGTAGAAAAAAAATCGCGATAAGCAATTGAGTTTAGTGTCAATTTTATATTGTTAAACTGTACTGAATATTACTTAATATTTATAAAAAGAGCCAAATCAGCATTCAAAATAACGATTTTGAATTCCATCGGTGTTGGTGAAACGAACTCCGTAACATTTGTAGTATAAAATTAATAGCGATTAGTTCGTCTCTGATCAGGATTCCAAGAGGGCTTTATTTAATGATTATCTTAAGCATCACAAAAGAATAATATTGCCCATTTCCGGCATAATTGCTCGTTATGACGCATGCGTCTTTTAGGACATTACCACAGAATAAATAATAGACATTACCGCGCATAGGGTTGGAAAGTCTTTAAAAATAGTAACTTTTGTCTGCGATAAAAATAATAATAAATAAGCAGTATTTTATAATAAATAAATAGAACAAAATTTACATATACATTGAATAAAACAAAGTTTTATTTTAACGGATTATACCACGTTTAATTTTACTTGGTCAAACACCTTAGACCTCGCAGTAACCATGGGTGTAATAAAGCACTCGAAATGTCTAAAGTAAAAAACAAGTAAAATTAAACGCAATAAAATCCGTAAAAATATATCTTTATTAAAGTAGTATATCTGCATTTTAAAAATATTTCGGGTTTTAAGTTTGTGCACGTGACAGGAAATATTTTGTGGAATTTTGAAGAAAATGCAATGGGTAACCATAATTTTATCCACGAGATATACAATTCACTGTTTTTAGATTAAGATTGAGATCTTAATGTATTTTACACATAATATTATTATAACAATAACATACAAACAGTTGCAAACCAATGTTCATTTACGTTATAACTGTAAACATTATCCTGTTAATAAAACAACTCTAAGCGTAATATAAACGTATTCGCTCTCATGTCAGGTGAATAATTGTTTTAAAATGTTAATAACACTACAAATCTCAGCCCTAGTGTCTGCTTGCTGCTTAATTCGTAAACCTGATTTTGTTAAGCATTTGTAAACAAGTGCTGGAGGAATACGCCTGCCTTTTTTGTTCCGTAATATATTTTGATTTGCAAATGAATCTAAAAGTGTTAAAGGCTAAAGTGTATTAAATTGATCTCGCACGGTCTAGTCAAGATGGTTATAATGTATTTTATTGGTAAGCTAACATTTCATTCATCTTAGTACTAATCACGAATGACCTTTGCCTTTTACGATTTTTCTTTGAGTTTATCTTAAAAAGATTTAAGTATATTCATCTTCTTTCTTTCTATTTTTTCCGATTTTGTTAACTGTCGTTGGCAAGTCACGATGTTTTAAATTTTGGTCTTATTAGCTCATAATTTTCTTTAATTATTAAATGTTTTCATATAATATATATGTATATAGCGGTTCTTTTATATTGGAAATAGTAAAAAAATACATTTAGACAAAAATTCAACTTCAAAATTCAGAGTTCTGAATAAGCTGTGTCGGTCAAATACAATTTAATGCTATTACTTGCAAAATTTATATTTTTTGTCACTGATAGTGCTAGGGAAATTTTATAACGTCCGATTTTCGCAGTCAGTGATTAAGGCAATTATTAAGCACTTTTCCTGAAATGTTTTTTAAAAAGGCTTAAAATTACGTAGTTCTGATAATTCTTATTTTAGTAAATAAATAAATATTTTTTTCCCTGAATTATCTTCTATCTACGTCACAGTGTAGGGGCGGCGTAATAGAACCCACTTCCCTTATAATTACGCGGTTATCGTAAAAGGTTTTTAAGTTACAGCCTATATTACGTCTCACTGCTGGGCACAGGCCTCCCACTCATTTCTGAGAGGATTTTAGGGCAAGGAATTATCCGCCGCGCTGTCCCATAGCGTGTTGGCGAACTTCACATGTCTTCGAAATATTTTTTTTTTATTTCTCTGGCATGCAGGTTTCCTCACGGTGTTTTACTTCACCGCCGAGCACGTGGTAAATCAGCACTTAAAATTGCAATTTACAATGTCATTGGTGCCGGCGAGGATCGAACCCGGTTTGCTCGCGTACTGTGAAATTTACAGCCAGCGCTAACCATCTGAGCTACCACGGCTCGTCGTAAGAGGTGATAGAAGCTAATAGGTGAGGAAATAGGTAGCAGCATACTCGTGAGAACATCTCTAAATAATAAAAACTGTAGTTGCCAAACACTTTCCAAGCGTGCGTACTATGGCATATTCGGGGGGTATTTTAAATTACTTAATTTCAATTTAATAAACCATACCACTTCTTTAAGTCAATAAATAGTATAATATGTGGGTGTATACTACTTATATATAGAAACAGAAACAGAATTTTTTTTATTTAATATGGATAAATAATACTTATTGAAAGTCACTTTGAATGATCGATATACTTGTGACATAAAAAACAGGTCGAATATATCTCGTTACCCGAGGGTCGCTTAATAAAATAGTAGATTGGCGATCGAGTTTCATTCGGAATTATAAAAACTTGTCATGGATGACACATATCTAGATAATATTATAAAGTAAATTATTATCGACAGTTCTTGTTTTTTTTTTTTAATTAAAATCAAAAAACATCTCTATATATAAAAATCTATTGATGTCCGCTAGTCTCGCTAATATTCGAAACTGGATCGACCGATTCTGATAATTTTTTTTGTATGTGTGTGAGTGGGTGGTTTAGATTTACAATTGAGAGCTGTGTGGTGGAACTGTTGTCGTTATCCAGAAATCACCCGTGCGAAGCTGTGCGATGCCGTGCGAAGCGTTCCAAGGGGCGGATTTGTTAAGACGACACATCGAAAAGGCTATCGCCGTACTGATCCTAGTGAATGCATAATTTCTATAAAAACTTGAAAAAACGCCGAAACCGCCGCCGTTTCTCAGAAACTTTAAAATATTTTTTTTAAATTAATTTTTTTTAAAAGTAAATTATGAATATTGATGTTATGAATACATTTGAGTGATTTCCAAGCATATAGATTAAGTAATTTCGTTGTAATTTCAACTATAGTGATTTTTAGAGGTGTTTTCGCAAATAATTATGATCGAGTCAAAATTATATAAAATTATATAATACAATCGTGTTTTTGAACAATCAAATTCAAGATAAAGACATTAGTAGACAAGATTTTACCTATATCAAAATTTCACTTTCCTTAGTGGTGTCATAGTCTTTATACTATTCGATGAAAGTGGTGCATTTTTTCACGGTGTCGCCTTAATAAAATCTTTGAATTTGTAAAATAGTGATAGGTTTAGTAAAATCGCAAGCTGAACATAACAATTATGAAAAGCATTATAATATGTGTCTAAAGAAAAACACAACACTTTCATTTTGCTTGGCCGTAGGCTAATAACACACCACACACGTTGATTTTCCTTAACAAACACTTTGAATAATTCGAAGTTATAAGCATTTGAAATAGTTTGTGATGAAATCTTGTTGTGATGATCTCACATCTCAGTCTTCAGAACTATCAACGCATCTGAATTTTGACTTTTAATCGAGAATAAATGATCATCTTTACTTGTATAAGAAATCTTTGGTAGAAAAATGTTACAAGGTGATTCCACAAATGTTTCCTTTTTAACTCTAACTCCCGACGAAACAACAGAGGGGTTGATATATGTACGTTTTTCTCGTTCGGAAGGTCTTAATCGAGACTGCCCTTTTGCTAGCTATGTTTCAAGAAAATCGGTTCAGCCCTTTGAAGATCTTAAAATTAAAAAAAAGTTATGTGAACTTTGGTACGACTAATGAATCTAGTTCTACAGGCTTGGCTGTATCTAATATATAAAAAAATAATTTTGTTTGTTCGTATTTTATGTGCTGCCATGCCGTTATCTGATTGCGGTAAAACTTTGTCAACATATTATTGCTTGCACTTCCGCGAACGTTATAGGCATAGTTGCACCCGGTGCGGGGCGCTGTTGTAGGATCCAGATATCACCCGCGCGAAGCCGGGGCAGTATAGTATAATATACATTCTAATGAATATCGGATTCTCATTAGTAAGCGTTAGGATCAAGGTTAATGAGGTTATGGATGCAAAAATCGAACGTTTAGTAGTATTTTTTTTTAAAATACCAGTATTTTTTATGTTTAGTTGAAGCTAGCGACACGCCTCGGCTTCGCCAGAATAGGATCTATTAATGTGGTGTTATTTCGATTTTGAAATTATTTATTTTATCAATTTGTTGTTTTTTTCTAAAAAATATATATTTTACTATATTTTATTTAAAAATCTTGATTTTTTTAAAATAAAATATAGCCTAGATCCTTCCTAGCATTGTTCTATTCATAAAGTTTCATCACAGTCGGTTAAGCCGTTCCAAGGATTCTTCGGACGACAGACAGACAGACAAATTTAAAAAAATTGTTATTAATTATATATATACACATACACATAATTATTTTTAAATATAGAATAAGGGTGATAAACGAGCACACAGTCCACCTTATGGTGACTGGATGCTGTGGCCCATAGACGTCTACATTTATCCTCGATTAAGAATCAAAACGCAAGTGGGTTGTCACCCCTGGACTAAGACGGAATGTCTCGTAACGAGTAAAAAACGGTCTCCGGATCTCTACACTCACCATACGAAACGCAGCAGTATTAAGCTGTTGTTTTATGCTGGTATTCTGTGAGAGCGTGGTCCTTCCCCGATCGAGCCGACCCATTCGTGCTACAACTATAATATAGCTGCAGCGTGGCTCCACCACGTATAAAATACTGTTAAATGTTTCTACTTTATTTCAGTTTTATTCTTCGCTTGTTTACAAAGCCTTGACTGTCATACGGGACACAAACTTGAGAACTCTAGGTTCAATTTTTTCGACACCGACCTCCTTCGTTACTCAGCTGAAGACCGAAAAGGCAATGTGGTTGTATCACCAGCCAGTATCAAGTCAATTCTATCAATGCTGTTAGAGGGCGCCAATGGCACAACAGCAACAGAAATAAGAAATGCTTTGAGACTATCGCCTGATAAAGATGAGTTCAGGGAGCAGTTGAATGGATACTTATCAGTTTTACGGGTGAGAAAAATGTTGTTTATTTCTGAACTACAGAGAAGTTTAACATTTTTTTAAAACTAGTAGTGCTATAAACACTACCAACCCTTTAACCACTCCAGTTAAGCTTGAAATGCTCGTGTTACGAGTAGTAGAGGTTCACGACAGTAGTTGAATGTCGGATTTGAATCCACGGTCTTCGTTGTCCGTACCCCTTAACCTATAGGATACTGTCGGTTTTACATATTCACGTTTTTAATTTACTTTCTAAAATCACACCAATTGTGTATGTTATGATAAAATACGTGTTTACAAATAAATGAAGAGACAAACGATTTTATAGTCCATCTGATGGTAAGTTGCTACTGTAGTTCATGACACCCGCAGCCAACGTCAAACATAAAATAAAACAAATGTGTTGTCACCTCTGAGGAGCAAATTGATATTTATCAAGCTGGTAACACTTTATTAGTTATTTAAAAACTTTCTGTGAGAAAAAAAACATAATTACCTAAGATCATTTCGCGGTTACTATTCTATAAACTTTTTTTTAAAAAGAATTTATTAAAAGAATTTGTATGTATAGCCAAAACATGTTAAAGGTGACATAAGATTTTAATCAAATTCAAGTTTTTGTTATTAGTCGCCGTAATCAGATACAGGTTTTTGCTATTGAAATATTTTTAGTGTAAGTTTAATGACGCTCACAAACAAACTTCATATATACTTAATATGTACATGGAACTTGAAATAAAATACCTAGTAAACGTAAAATGTAAAACGCATGTGCGCAGAGTTATAAGCTGAATTGTTGAATAACGTTTATTTTATGGAATTCCCGAATAACAACAAAGTGTGACGCAGTAACTTCCGCAGTTTTTAGCCAGATGTGAACGTCGACTAAAGTTGTGAGGAAAATGATTTAACTTGTTACGCTGTTGGCTTATTGGATTTTTTAGTCAGGCGTTAAATTACTTCATCATTTAAAAGTAAAAGCTACATTATGTTAATATAATGTTGAAAAGTTACAGCCTAATACGCCACTGCTAGGCATAGGCCTCCGCTCATTTCTATGAGGGTTTTAGAGCAAGGAAATCCGCCGCCATAATGCGTGTTGGCGAACTTTACGTCTTCGAAATATATTTTTTCTTATTTCTCAGACATGCAGGTTTCTTCACGATATTTCCTTCACTGCCGAGCACGTGGTAAATCAGCACTTAAAATTGCCATTAACAATTACATCGATGCCCTTGGTAGCTTAGGGTTAACTCTTTAGTTAACCCTAAGCTACCATCGTTCTTGTATAATGTTGTATAGTGTAATGTTGGAATAACATATATTTGATGAATTTTTTTTGTATCCTGTTTTAATTTATTTTATTCCTGTACTACCTTGAGCTACTTTAGGTTATGTTTTTGCGCCATAAATCGTTTGCAGAAACTTAGACCTATTGAACTTGACTTTAAATAAATAAACAGAAGACGGTTATCAGTTTTCAAGGTGCTACAATTATTATAATAAATAAGTGACCGCCTTTAGCGGAGAGTATCTGGTTACTGGATCAGGTCATGAACCTGAACCAGGCACCCGGCATCAAGATTTGTAAGAAAACATTGTTTGTTTTCGGATTTGGATGTATTATATTTATCTCTGGGTTTCTAGCAATGCATACAAGTTTATTTATAATCTTATCGGAAGTAATTTACTATAATTTGAGCCACAAGTTGGTTTGCCCCCTCTTCCATAAAATAATTGAAATGAAAAATGTCATGAAAGGCAAAGGCAAGCAAAGAATGAAAGAACTTTCTTCTTCCACAAAAGTTGCCAGCATACTTACGGTTATTTTAGTGTTGCAGTATTTCATGGCCGTTTACAATCACTTACTAAAAGCTAATTTAGTTAAGATCAGGCTGTAAGAAATTCCGTCTTATTCCTCAGCAGTGCTTGTAAAATCTTTCCATGATCTGCTCGGGCCACCCATCTCTAAGGCGTTTAGCTTGTTTGCCACTTTAAGGTCATAAAAAATTACCAATTAAGTTGTAATCTAATACTCAGACTAACTAAGAAAGACAGGAGGAGTACTGCGTATATGTTAAGTGACGCAAAAACCTAGCTGAAGCCATCTTGCACTTATTGTAAACACATACTCACGTACACAAATCCATCTAAAACCATTTGCAACAAACAATGTGGTTTTAGGTTCATCTGAAGGCATGAAATAAGCGCAAAAAAAAAAACATGGAATGTCCAGACGAAAAAGGCCCCCCCTAATAGATATTATAAAAATAATAATAAAAAAAATAAAAATATTATACGGTACGTGAGGGTAATATTGTCATCCGGTTAATATGGTCGCTTCCTTATAACTCAAAATCTACAGCCTTGTTTGCATAGATGATGAGATGAGATGAGCTTTATGATACAATAGATCTTCATCAGTCAATCAAATAATAAAGGGTCGAAAGGGTGCTGCTTTATCGAAGCCATTTTGACAGATGACATTATATGAAATATTTTAGTTGATTTTAGTATGGTGTAGTGTAGTTAGTTTTTTTAGTGGATTATTCGAAAAGATCCTAATTATTGCCAAAGTCTGTTTATTTTTTTCTTAATATATTAGTTACAGTATACGACTTTGTGTTTTTGTTTCTATCCTCCTCCTAGTTTTGGTTTTATAGTGCGGCAAAGCATAAGGTGACCGTATTGACATATTATATATTACTATCAATATTCATAAAACAAACAACATTCTAAATTCTAATTCTAAAACTAAAAACCTTAAAAATATATATTATGATAACTAAAATGTATTATTAAAAAGGAGGTCCTTTAAGCAGTTTCCGAAGATACTGGCAGCGTTTCCCCGTTGAATAGCTAGACTAATCCTTTGTCCGAGGTAGCTGCCAGCTCTTCGGTCTCCTGTGACATCGATTAACCTTTTTGTTATTTCCTTAAAAAGGCTTATAGCGCTAGGACCCCACGGACCAAGGGTCTCGACACCGAAAGGGTCAAAAATATATTCGGAGCCTAGACCCCTCTATTTGCATACTTTAGCTTTATCAGCCGTATCACAAGCCGCACCAGCTCTGTTGTTGGTTCCATGTAGATGGGAAGGGTCCAGCGTGTCTAAACAGGTTGCATCCCATACCAGCACCCGGCCCATCTTCCATGGAATCAAACTCATTCCGTCCGGTCTCTTGCCATCGTCTCTTGCAATACCAGACGGCTCAAGTAGACTTGGCACGTTGACGGTGGCAAGAGACCGCCGTATGATATCATTAAGTGCTGCATGTCTCGAGAAGCGACCTGCACTTTTTGGCATGATAGCCCGTGATGTCCTAGCTTGTCGACGTCACCACCACACGGACATTTATGAGGATATATTACTTATTTGTTTTAGACAAATGAACCTGGAGTGACTTTACTTAATTCAAATGCAATGTTCCTGTCATCTACAATTAAAAACGTGAGAAAGGAATTTCTGGTTATGTTGCATAAGGTGTATTTATCAGAGATACGTCTTATCGACTTCCGGCAACCAGTGCCTGCAGCCAATTTAATAAACTCCTGGGTCAATAACAATACAAGGGGCCTTATTACAAACTTAGTGGAACCTGGTGAGTTCATGTTTATTAAAAATCTTAAAACAGTTATTATTAATATTTGCCATAGATCAGAGCAGAGGGACCGTATATTTGCGTAAGAACATCTACTACACGATGTCGTTCCGTAGGTATTGTAAGGCAACAGAGGGAAACAAGTGGGAGATGAGCAAGCAGCATTTTCCTGATAACATCTGAATTAGAAAAAACTGTGGTTGTCAATCCGCATGCCAAGCTTGGCAACTATGGTATATGACCATATGAGGGAATCTATGTTTACGTTCAGCTGTGGACTTTTATAGGCTGTAAACGACGAACGAACAAATGGATTTGCTGAATTTCTAATAACTGTGGTATAACTGAGCAGTTTTAATACCTAATTTTAAAAGGTTCTTATTTTTAAAAAAATAATATAAAAAAAAAAAAAAAAACATAAGCAAACCGGGAACATCACAGTAGTAGATTATATCGTAAAAATTATTTGATCTTGTGTCACTAAGCAAGGAGAAAACAGAGTAATACATTTGGATGGAGTTAAAGCCGCCATTTGAATATTATTTTAAAGGTTCTTTGGATTTTTTTACGAGTTTTCACAGAATCTAAACGTTACATTCGGTTACATAAATGAATAATACCTTGTTAAATTCAATAAAGTTAATTTTGAGAAGAAACGTAAGCTATTCATGGTAAAATATTGGCTAAAAAATTAATATTTTATTATTAATAATAATAATGTCCTTCAGACCAAATTTCGGTCACAGCGACCTGCCTCAACTGAGACTAACCAGCAGGACAGGATTATAGTTTTTTGGCCCGACTCGGGATTCGAACCCAGGATCTCATGATCAGCAGTCGCACTACTACAACCACTAGACCAACGAGGCATTTTATGAAATACTGAACTAAAATCTAGAAAATTTGACAAGGAAATGCCATTTAATTTCGTAAAAAATCTTCCTTCTATTCATCACCAGGCCGTGAAAGTCCACTTGTCACTATGGTCCTCTCCTGTTTTAAGGGAGGATTTCCCATAACAGAATCGTCATGTTTTGCAGACGGATCAGCGATCTCTGTACCAGTCCTCCACGCCCTTGACCCTGTCCCCGACGCCGGTTAGGGTATTTTACATACGATTTGTACGAAATGCTTATACTACTGCCTATTATGTTTGATACTTTTTAATATATTCTATAGTCGCCTCTGGCGATACCCGCGGAATGAAATAGAAATATAAATTATCTTATGATGCGAACCCTCATCATCATCACCTCAGAATCACGTCAGAGGCTAACATGAGAGACATCGGGTATTGGGTTGGTCAATAACATCTTTTACCAAAATTTTAAAATTATCTAAATTTTAAAGCAGCAAAAAATTATAAAACAGTGTTAAAGATGACAGTTGTTATTATAATTGTCATCTTAATTATTATAATTGTCATCATTACGTAGGTAATTTAGAGATGACCATTATAATAATTTATAGTTTATGATATGTCAAAAATATGAGTTATTTTCCAATAGTAATAAAATTTTTGCATACGTGGTAGAGTCATACTGCAGTTATATTAGTAGTACTGTAGCACGGATGGGTCGGCTCGACCGGGGAAGAACCACGCTCTGACAGAATCCAACGTAAAATAGTAGCTTAATGCTGCTGTGTTTCGTATGGTGAGTGTAGAGAACCGGAGACCCTTTTTACTGGAAATGAGTCATTCCATCTTAGTCCTCACGGGTGACAACGCATCTGCATTTTGATTTGTAACCGAGGATAGATGTAGATGTCTACGGGCCGCAGCAACCACTTACCATCAGGTGGACTGTGTACTCGTTTGACACTCTATCCAATAAAAAAAACAAATACTACCAGCCTTGACCTTAATTGAGCAACACTTTACGGTCGCGTTGAATGAATTAGAAATTTTGAACTTAGATTTAAAAAAGGTTGTAAAATTGTTACTTCTTAAATTTTATGGTAATATTCAATAAAATAATTTTACAGAACACGTCGATCCCATGTCTGAGCTGCTCCTCGCCAACTCATTATACTTCAAGAGTACGTGGCAGCACGCTTTTGATCCCTCCAACACGCAAGGCTCCTGTTTCCATAACCGTGGCGTTTGTAAGACGGTCGCTATGATGGAGCTGCACGCTGAACTCAACTATGCATATGTAGATAATTTAAGAGCTCATGCATTGGAACTGCCCTATGAGGTAAGCAAAACAAGTATGGATTTTTTATCAGGTAGAATTTATTTATTTATTTAGGTACACAAAACAGAATAACACAAAAACATGAACAATTGAAAATAATAAATACAAAGTTACAATCTGGATGGCATTCCAAAACATGATATTAAGTAACTAACGATTTTACTGCATAAATAATTAAAATGTTTAATTGACTTAAAAATAGAGAAGGTTTTTAATTTGACTGTTATATTTTAATAATTTTAGTTAACTAATATCTCCAGTATTATAAATGAATTGTCTTGAGTTTTAACAAAAGTGGATAATTTCTCAGTAGTTACATCAGGTGATAATAAAATGATTAATCTAAATATTTAACATCATTGATTTAAGTCATGCCTTGCGATAAAACTATTATTTAGTTCAAATTTATATTGGAAGAATAGAGAAATTACATCTTTGTCAATTTTTTGAGACCGGTATAGGCTTCTTTTAGACCAATGTAATCACCACGCATGACCACAGGATAACTTACCATCATCTATTATCTTATATATAATTATCTTGTGTCAGTGTTTGTGGTCGCACTCCTCTGGAATGGCTCGACTAGTTTCAATAATTCTTCTATCCGTATGTTTGTCACTGAACGTCTAAACGGCTGGACCAATTTTAACGATTTTTTGTGTTTCGACTTAGACCTGATAGGTGGCGCTGTAGTCGAGATCCAGAACTCACCCGAACAAAGCCGGGAAGGACCGCTAGTTTCAGAAATAAAAAGTTTTTATTGCATTTAAATACGTGGCTCTAACCATTTGTAGCATGAATGGGTCGGCTCGACCGGGGAACAGCCACGCTCTCACAGATTACCAGCTTAAAATAGTAGCTTAATGCTATTGTGTTTCGTATGGTGAGTGTAGAGAACCGGAGACCCTTTTTACTGGAAACTAGACATTCCATCTTAGTCCTCGCGGGTGACAACGCAATTGCATTTTGATTCGTAATCGAGGATAGATGTAGATGTTTGTATTTATTTTTATAGGATAGGGTGTCAAACGAGCACACAGTCCACCTGATGGTAAGTGGTTGCTGTGGCCCATACTAGGCTGCACTAAAAGTATCGGGAATGGAATATTTCCACTGTTCCTGTCATATTAAAATCTTTTTAATTGAAAACTCCTTGGTTTTAAAAATCGAATACCATTTATTTATTTAAAAAAAAGATTCTCGGTCTTGTCACAAGGTTTTGTGAAACTTGTTTAGTAGTTGAGGAAGTGGAATTGACTCGAGAAAATTCAAGAGCGATGATTTATTATGACTTTCGAAGTGGTTTAACACAAAAACAGCGTGTTGACCGGATGATTTCTGCATTTGGTGATGAAGCCCCATCCAAAACTACAATTAATCGCTGGTTTGCTGAATTCCAACGTGGACGTGTCAAGCTCAGTGATGATCCCCGTCAAGGTCGTCCAAAAACTGCAGTCATCCAAGAAAACGTTGATGCTCTGCGTAAACTGATTGAGGAAGATCGACATCTGACCTACCGCGAAATTCAGGCAACTTTAGACATTGGCATGAGTCAAATACAAATAATCTTGCATGAACAATTAAGGTGTAAAAAAGTTGTTTTCCCGATGGATACCGCATTCGCTCTGTGAAGAGCAAAAAGTGGCTCGCGTTACTTGGTGCGTCAGAACTCTCGAAAGATTCCACGCAGGATCCTCAAATGCTGTATACAATATCGTATCAGGTGATGAATCCTGGATATACAAGTACGAAACAGAAACAAAAAGACCATTCACGAGTTTGGGTGTTCGAAAATGAGTTAAAGCCAACAAAAATTGTTCGTTCACGGAGTGTTGCAAAAAAAATGGTGGCCACGTTTGTCTCCAAAACCGGCCATGTTACGACTATTCCTCTTGAGGGACAAAGAACGGTTAATGCAGAATGGTATGCTAGCATTTGTTTGCCACAGGTCGTTTCTGAACTCCATAAAGAGAACTGCAACCGCCGCATCATCCTCTATCACGACAATGCGAGTTCTCACACCGCACACAGAACAAAAGAGTTTTTAGAGCAAGAAAACATAGAATTATTAGACCATCTGCCGTACAACCCCGACCTAAGCCCTAATGATTTCTATACTTTTCCTAAAATAAAGAATAAATTGCGTGCACAGAGATTTTCATCATCTAAAGAAGCTGTGGACGCCTACAAAACGGCCATTTTGGAGACCCTAACTTCCGAATGGAATGGTTGCTTCAATGATTGGGTGCGTGGCAAAAACGGACACGGAAAAAAGGCGTAAGGTAAGGGCAAAGGAAAAAAAACTCCAACCCCCTTCCATCGTATGGAAAAATGTGTCAAATTTCGCGGAGAATACTTCGAAAAGCAATAAATACATTTTTAAATAGTAATGTTATGTCACTTCCTTGAATTTTGAAATTTTCAGTGACGACAGCAACCACTTACCATCAGGTGGACTGTGTGCTCGTTTGACACCCTATCCTATAAAAAATAAATACAAATGTTTAAAAAAATATTTAGCATTAATCGTTAGGGCTACCAACTGGTAGCAAAACTAGATAGGCAAAATCCTCCTTTTCTGCCAAGTAGGGGCCCCTCCTTGGTAAAGTTCTTTTTTCTGTTGCTACTGTAAAGCTATGCACTTTTGCGTAGGGTTATAGAGCTGTGTAGTATAAAAGCGGCGGGGTAGAATTCCATACTATTTTTTTATAGTCATTAGAGGTGATAATGCATATGCGGTGCTGCTTCATCGACACTATTTTGACCTTTGACATTATAGATAGTAAATATTTTAGACGATTTTACTATTGTGCGGAGTAGTTAGTTCTATTAGGTTGATTTTTCAAAGTATTCCTATTTATTGCCAAAGCTTGTTTGCTATTTTTTCTTAATATATTAGTTATAGTATACGACTTTGTATTTTTGTCTTTGTCTTCCTTCTAGTTGTGATTTTATAGGGCGGCAAAGCTTAAAGTGACCACCTTACCCTCACGTACCTTAATTAAAATAAGATCCTCGCCCTTAAACGTATTTCCTTGGGTTTGGGAATGTTGCTAAATCTACCGCTTTATACGTTTTCTTCCTATCTATCATCATAAATTTCTATCTTATTATTTTGTTATTGTAAGTATTAATAATAATATAACGGTATATACTAGAACTGAGTTTTATAGCAGTCTTTGGCGGAAGTCAGAAGTGAGATGAAGAAGCTCTGAAATAGTGGCTGCAATAATGATGATGAATGACAATGCTTTAAATAAATATCAATTAATAATTTATAAGGGTCCACATTTGATCATCTTGACGTATCTTGATCCGGTGTATCGCATCGACTCCTATATTGGTTATGAAAGCACATTTTGTACATGTCGTATCTCTAGCCGTATTGTATCGAAAAAAACGCATCCATATCATATCGTATCATGTCAGCGTATCGGCTCTTTATATGTGAATGTTTAAAAAAAACAGCATGTGTACAGAGTACGCATGTCAGAAGTGAAACTTCTTTGGCGATTTGAATTTCATAGCTGTTACTTATAAATAAATGATGAAGGATCAATATAAAAGACTGGAAAAAATATAAAAAGTGAGCTATTTTGGTACTTAAAGGATTTAGGAGTAGTAGGTATTCGAAGGATTTAAATGAGAAAAATTTGCAAAAGTTATAAATTATATTTTTTCAATTTATTTCTTCTATATTTACATCTGATGATGGTATGATCATCTGGTAACTAAAATATGCAACATAAGTTCTCGACTCAATGTTTTGTAAATACTGCGTAAAAATGGCATCTATTGTCGTTCCGGATTTTGTTGTTGACATGTTCGGATTATTATTCATTTGTAGATTAAATATGTCATGTAAAAAGTTTTTAACGGTATTGAATCATCATAATTATTTAAAATTTGTGGTTGGCCCATTCTTCATACAAAAATAAATTGTCTCCTTTAAAATCGTCGCACTAAAATCTGACGCTCATATTATTATTATCGTGACGCGGCCTTGAAAAGTTACCCTCATCGCGCGCAAAGAAGTTTCACTTCAAAAATTACGCTTATTCTCGTATCTTGACCATGTCCAAACTTTTCAAGACTTAATCTGTAGCGGCAACCCTTTGGTGATCATCGGTAAAACCGATTAGAGATGGGACGTGATGTCTCCGGAATCGTATCGCATCGTCATATCGTAATACAGTATCATAATGCGTCCATACTACCGATCATCATACGCGTATCCGATACAAGGTGCAACAGATACGAGGTTTTGTGCGGAACGAGAAGTATCGGATGTGGTATCACAAAGGCGTATCACATGACCGTATTCAAGCTAGCAGTTATAATAAATATCTGTTCCATGCGATGGAAATACGATACACCAAGATAACTAAATGTGGACCCGGCCTAATTCGTTTACAGCATCAGTTTTGAATCTAAAAATTAACAATTAATGAAAAAAATATTCCAAAATTCTACTTCGCATCGTTTTCCTGTTAGTAATATACATTTTACAAGACTTTGTTTGCTGTTAATTTAAATAAAATTTAGACGTTTGACCACTTTTTGTCTCACCTGCAAAATAAAACCCGTTTTGCAGAAGAGTTTCAGAAGAAGACAGCATTTTTATACAAAAGTTAATTAATTAAGATTCTACAAGCGAACTACGATTACGTCAACAATTTTTATTAAGTGTAAACGAATTTTGCTTCTAACACGTGTAATTAAAGCACATAGACGGAATATACGTACCTACTCACGTATTATAGACGTCTAGTGCAGTGACCAGAACTTTAGTCACATAAACATCTTCGTAATGGTTATGAATAAAACAACGAATTCATGTGAAGATAATATAATAATTTAGAATAAAATGAAATGATCTTTACTACAAAGGTTTAAAGGTAAATTCTTAACCTTATAGCATAAATGCTCTCGTTATTTTATGCTTATAGATGATACTTATATGCCCTCAGGTATTTTTCATATTAGTATCAAAGCAAACATGATTCCTTATGGATGCCACCCACGTTCAGTTTAACTAATCATTCCAACTGATCAGTTCAAACTAAAACTAAATATGTCATATATACATAAATATGTATATCGGAGTTTTATATATAAGTTTGCTTATCGATATATCCAAATCCAATATTTTAAAAAATATCAACAGTTTTATTTTGAACTAATCAGTTTGAATGATCAGTTGAACTGACCGTGTGTGGCGATCATAATGGTTTAAGCGAACACTACACATTCAAATAAAAGTAATTAAAATTGTGAAAAATCGATGCTCCAGTAAGTCCGCAGTCTATGAACACGGACAGAATTGCCCCCGCCACTACTTCAGATTTGATAAACCACAAAGGATGATTCGCGAGGCTATTGAAATAAAATAAAAAAAACACCCTAATTTCAATAGAGAAGATGGCTGGGTGCTACCATCTGCTTGAGATCGTATAATTAATAATATTAAATTCCCACTCAAGCATACAACTGCAAGACTTCAAGATACTATGAGTTCATACTGCGATCTGGAGGTAGCCGTGGTTAACTATGGCGTTGGGATGTCGAACGTATCAGTCCGTCTGTGACCATGGGTGCTGAGCTCGAAATGTTGGGAATATAAAATAAGTTAACAAAATCCGGCAAAATCGTTTTATTAAAAACCAAAAAAGCAAAGCAAAATAGTTATGTTTAAATCAGAAGTTTCAATCTAGGCAAAGAATATATACACTACGCGAAATCTAGGTACGTTGAGTACTGTATATATGTAAATATCAAAAACTATTTTAGCGTTAATGTTATGACGATATATGGGCTATATTATGGACTATGGACCAGCCGTATAACTCTACCAACTGAAGACCGATGGGAAATAAATGTTCTAGCATGGCAGCCAGGTGAGGATGCGAGTGGGTCCGAACCGTGCTTTGTGGCATTCATTGAGCCAATGTTCATTTGTGGACTAGTTGAGAAGGGCTGTATTGATTTGTAGATTATAATGATATAGATATTGACTACTGAAGTTACCGTCGTGGTTTACCTAAAGTAAGTATTTTTTCGTAGAATTTTGGATACGATCATTAAAAACTGTCTTGGAAACTAATGAGAAAAACTTAATTTTCCTTTTGTAATTATCTGTAGATAATTTTAATGTATTAACATTATACTTATTTTACGGCAAATCGTATATGATAATAAGTATAATACAAATCTAATAATAAAAGCCACGGCGAGTTCTATTTTAATAAACAAGTTGTGTTTAAGTTTTCTTCAAGGTTTTCCTCTTTTGTCTGTTTTAACAGTCGTAACCGATGATGAATTAAATTATTACAAATAACATTATAGGCATTAAAAACGTTTTTGTAAAAAACACCGTTATAATTAAGCAGGTTATATATGATTTTTAATTAATAATTTCATTATTATTTGTAGCTTTCATATACTATATAGAGTGACGACCTCGTGAAACATGCAGGTACCTAGTCTATGGATGCAGGTGGCTCAGGATCGTACTTTGTGGCAATCTCCGAAAGAGGCGTCTACCAAGCAGTGTCACAAAAAGGTCATCGACATACCGGTACGAGGTTGCTACTCGAGAACTTTCTTCCCCCACAGTTGTCGGTTCTTCTGGTAATATGGCTGGAATCTGAAGCCACTTCAGCTAATTAATCCGATGGTTGTGGTATTTAGAAGTTTTATTGATATCTAAGTACCTATTATATTATTTAACTGTGAGGCACTCCGTTTTAGACCTCAGGAACGAAAACGCATTCGTCCATATAGACTGTTAGGACTTTTATCTCTCTAATATTGTAATACAAACAAGTTGATTCGTAGTATTTGATTAGTAAGTACTTATTTGATACTATAGTTAAATTATATACTTTCAGACAGCTTTCAAAACAAACCTATAAATCTTTGAGTAATTACATACGTAGCTATAAATAAATTAAAATGCAAAACAAACCAATAAGTAATGATTTCGTGTTTTTAAATCAATTAATAATTTTGTTCGTATATTTTCGATAACAAAAAACTAATTTATCTTATAATAGAAAATTAGACTCTAGAGACCTTGTAACGTGGATATATGACAATTTTTGGACTTTGGAAGGGGCAGTCCATTTAGAATAATATATATAATAAGAGATACATAAAGACCCGAATAACCTACTGAGAAGTTAATAAAAGTTATGGGTAATATATTAAATTTAATTTATGGGTAACATATTAGAATTTAAATAGGCATATAGTAAATTAAATAAAACTAACAATATAGGAAATACATTTTGAAGTGTTTTTTGGCATTTTCTATTCACTTAACTATAAGATTAAAGCCTCTAAACCGGTTCAGATGCTAAGCTAAGTTTTTTTTTTCATTTACATTGGTAAATAACTATGTGTTTTTCATTAATTAATAAATGTCCACTGCTGAATATGAGCTTCACCAGGTTATTTTAGGAAGGAGTGTAACACAGACGCCATGCTTGGTACGCGGATGAGTGTGTAGTGTGTAATGTGTACATCTAGTATATACACAGTAATCTATGATGTACATGTACAGTCAGTATAAGCGGATGGGTTACACTGCTATCTACCGGAAGCTAGGAGAACTTGTTGGTGTTCCCATTGTTACCTTGAATTACGACAACCACGGAGCAAAACGGGGTGGATGAATTCCCCATATACCACCACGCGCGGCTGTCTTGTACTTATAATAGATTTCTTTTTCAGGGTGGCCGCTATTCTATGATCTTGCTCGTGCCACATGATCATGACGGTGTATTTGCACTTATAAGGGACCTACCCTACATGAGTTTACCGCAAATATGTAGTATTATGGAACCGAATGACGTCCGACTCTTTATGCCAAAATTTACAATCGACTATAACGAAGACATGGCTGAAACCTTACAGGCGGTCAGTATTTATTATAATTTAATATGTTGTTTGAGTGTGGGGATATTCGTATTTATCTCTTAATTTTATCACACGGTATTTATTACGTACGGTAATTAAGCTCACGAGGTTCTAGCGAATAGCTAATGAAACCCATTAAAAATTACCAAACTTGTATGTATATATGTAATGATATATTGAATATATTTTGCCATGATATAAATAAATGAATTACAAAATTAACTCGTAAAGTAAATCACATATGAATTTGTCAGAAAGACCTAATATCTTAGTGTTAGTAAACCTAAAATTACTTAATTTTATTACTTAACGATTTTATTACTGTTATTTTATTAAGTTGTTTTAATTTGTTTAATTTCTTATGTTAATAATAGCTTACCTTTATATTTAATATGTGGATAACTGTTATTGGCATACTTGAAGTAAATTTGAAATTGTATTTAGTGATAATATACGCTGTTGTTATCCTTATTAAAATAAAATAAAATAAATAAATAAAAACAAACCTACACTCCATTTTTATCATTTGCAAAGGAAATCTTATATGTAATTATCACATGTAATTTAAAAAATGCAAAGATGAAATCAATTATTTTGTAATGCATACAGCCAATTCGGGAAAGGAGTGGAATAATTTGCCGGCGTCCATTTTTTCGTCTGAATACAATCTGGATGTCTTCAAAGTAGGCTTCTGTTACGCTAAGACAGTGCGATTTACCATTGTGGCTAGGGATACATCACCACTTACCACCAGGTGGGATTTATAATCAAGAACTGGCTTATAAAATGTAAAAAAAAATTAGGATACAGCAGCATCGAAAGTTAGATGGCCACATGCCACATATAAATCCATGATGCTTCAAGTAGCGTGTTCTAGAGTGTATATTGGTTATTGTCAATAATACGTATTGCACATTAAATGAAAAAAAAAAATAGTGCAGATGTTCCAGCATTACTAGTATTTTGGTACATTGGGCCACTCTTTCAAGTATTTTTGACTAACGTACTATTCAAAAGGCAAATGCGTTATTACCGTTGAGTACCAAGATAGTACGTCTCGTTATGCTCCCCACCCGCTCTAAACAATCTGGTGCATTTTTGAAAAGGCTTATATCAAGCACAGAATATACTACAAATCACTTGCGTCCATCGACTTCCTGCAAGTCTTACCAGGCCGTTACTTAAATTCAGGACTTCATAGGCTTGATTTTTACTGACAGCTGTCGCAGAGATCAAGCTATCTTTTATGAAATGAAACTTGAAAATACGTTCAAATGAAGTAGATTCTTTTTGATAGTACTTTGTAAATACATTACTTGCATATTAAAATTCATTAAATTCATTGTTACTCCATCTAGAGGGGAGTTGTCCGATAACAGTAATGTCTGTGATTGGACTCCACAGTCAAAATTGTTAAGTAAGTATGATGTAAGTGGAGCAATGAATGGTAATATGGATGAAGTATACGAAATGTTGTATGATAGAGGAATACATATGTTATGTGTAATTTAGATGAAAGGGTAAGGATGCACTGCCCATGGTATATATACCGCTACATAAATGAATGAAATGACTGTGGGGTGGTGAAGATGAAGGTAAATACTTGGAATAAATTCATAAGAGATTCAAGTATTTCGTTCCTTTGCAAAACTATTTTTGTTTTGATGTCGTATGGTTATTTCAAAATATAAAACATGAAATTAAATTATACGTGTAAAAATATTTTTTGACAATATTTACTAAATTCTTCTTACATATTTTTCAGATGAAAATTACCTCCTTATTTTCGGGGACTGTGGATCTATCGGGCATGTTTAATGGCAGTTCTCCTCAAGTGAATAACATATTCCATAAAGTCCACATATCAGTAGACGAAGAAGGAACAGTTGCAGCAGCAGCGTCTTCCGCCATGGTCATACCTCTCATTGAAAATGGAGTGCAAATTCGTGTTGATCGTCCATTCGTCTTCTTTATTATAGACAACAAGCTTGGCTTGATATTGTTCGAAGGAAAGGTCGAGGAGCCAACACCTTATGTACCAGTTGTACCAAAATATTCAGACATCCAACAAGGCCCTAAGGCATCAATACCTTATGTACCAGCTGAACCAAACTATTCAAACATCCAACAAGGCCCTCCAACAAGGTTTATTGGTGGGTAAAAATTGTAATTTTGTTTCTTAGAATTTTTCATAAATACATATTATGTACGTATTTCACGTATGGCTTAAGTACAATGTTAAGAACCATCTAAATCAACTTATAAATAAAAAAATCAAAGTACCATCTGAATATCTCCACACCTTTTAAATCCATTTTCGTGTAAGGATAATTTGATTGGCACCATACCATATAAGAACCGTGACAGCAATAGAGCCCTGTATTTCAAGGACCATTGATAGCTCTAAGTATTGTAAATGGCAAAGACTTCTCTTTTTATTTCTGCTAGACCGACAATTCAGAACACTGTGATCTGTGAATGGATCATAGAGACGCGGGCGCGGGTTTGGCCGGGTAGCTAGCACGGTAAATATGCCACGCAGCTGTATTTTCATTTGGACAATTAGCCATAACTTAGTTCGCAATATTTAAGGCCAAAATCCAATCTAATAGTATCCATAGTAGTCTTTGGTTGATGAAGACTATGACATATGTATATGTCGTGGATCTTGAGATCTAATCCCAGAATCCCAGTCAATTACGGATCTACAGTGATCTTTGTAATTCTAGTAGAAATAATTTGTCAATAGAAATAACTCCGCAAACATTTTCATTTCATAAAATTTTATACCCTAAAATAAGATATAAATATAAAAAGACATCGGCTTGTAACCAATATTGATAATATATTAACACAATGAAATATAACTGAACGTTAAATATCAAAATAAAACCAAGAGTTGCGTTAAATTGAGAAGTTTTTACTAGAGATATCACAAAACAGTTACATGGGGTTTTTGTATAGGAAAGGGGGCAAATTAACATACGGCTCACCTGATGGTAAGTGATTACCACCGCCCATAAACAACTGCCAGGGGGATTGCAGATGCGTTGCTGGCCTTTTAAAAAGGAGTAGGCTCTTTTCTTGAAGGAAAGTCAGTTCGGAAAAACTCTCTTGGTAGTCGATTCCATAAGAAAGTTGTGGGAGGTAGAAAATTTCTTTAAAATCGCACAGTGGTGGACTGCAAGACATCCAGTTGGTATGGATGGTATCGCGAATTTTTTCGCCATTTGCGATGGTGAAATTGTGCGGCTGGAATTAGTCAGAACAATTCCTTCTTACACCCTGTGGTAAATGCGATAGAATGCACAAAGAGATGCAACATCTCTTCGCAGTGCTAGTGAGTCAAGCCAATCGGAAAGAGCTCGGTCACCGACGATTTGAACGGCTTTGCGCTGGATGTGATCAAATGGAAAGAGCTGGCACAGGGGAGGCCCAGCCCAGAGATGGGAACAGTATTCAATGTGCGGCCGAACCTGCACCTTGTAAAGTTTCAGGTGGTGTGTCGGCATGAAATACTGTACGCCAAGCTTTTTAGAGGTCAATTTGGCCTTCTCTTCCAAGTGATGTCACTCGATATATCGACGCCGAGGATTCCGATACTTGTTAAGGCCTGTGTGCCTTGAAACTAAGGAGATACGATGAAGGGGTTATTTTTGGCGGTAAACGGGCAAACTTGTATATTTTGTGGATTGAACTGGACTAGATTTAGTCGCCCGCAGTCCGAGACTTGTTCAACAAAGTCTCGACTTCAGACTCAAGTTTGTCTCGGTACAAGGTGACGTTTTCCCAAGAAATATTGGCACGGCCGGCGTATAGAGCATCACCAGTGCTGTCGTCCGCAAATTAATGAATGTTATCGGTTTGCAACATATCATTGAAATGGCCAAGAAGCATCGTTGCGTGTGGGACAAGATTTATTGACACGAAGTACACCTACATTAAAATGTACTTTCGTGGCAATAATTCTTTCACTATGTGGGTACGTTCGGCAGACGAGCCGTGACGTGACGCGCCGTGAAAGGCTATCGGGTTAGAGCTGATAGTCGGACACGTACCGTACCGGTACGTGTACACCAAAACCGATTTTGTCGGCCGATGGCGGACAGAACTACCTGCTTGATTTGATCGTCCGAGTTCCACCGTCATCACCCGAGTAAACTTCGGCCGATGACGGATTATTTATTATTATAGTTGTATGCGAAGCGGTAGAATTACAATAGCAATACAGAGTAAAGAGTAAGGACGTCTGTTTCTTTACTCATGTGACAATACCATTGAACTCTTACAATAAACTATTCTAAAATTTTGACAACTTACATGTACTTACGTTAAGTTATTTATGTTCAGCAGTGGTCTTATGAAAGGCCGTAATGATGATTATGATGATGACAAGTATTATTATTATATTAGATACACTCACCGGCACGGAAACTTGGCCAAGCGGTTATCTCGCGATAGCAAAAGCTTTAAGTGTTTCTTATGAATGTTTGTTATGCAAGTATGTCAAAAAATGTTTACCCTCAAGTTCAAGAGGGTAATTCATTATGTTTAAGTGCACCATGACGAATTCTTTAATTTTTTAGTTGAATCGGGTCATTTGAGCGACTAAGTTCACATTTTAAATTTGTGTGTTGTGAAAAGTTTACTGTAAGGTTATTCAATTATTGTGATCTTGTGTCTTAATTAAATAACTAAAGGTGCTTTAAAGCCAATAAAAATGCCATTAACACCAGCACAAGTTGCACCAGCAGTAGCATTAATTGACCAAGGGCTGACACAGCGTGAAGTTGCTATTGTGCTTAACGTACCACGGTCCTCAATGCAGTATTCACTGAAACGATACCAGGAAACAGGCCGCTACACCCGCAGGCCAGGCAGTGGGGGCGTAAGGTGCACATCGGCCCGGGACGATCGTTTTATTGTTATGGAGATTTTGAGAAACCGCTACCTGACCGCTGTTGAGATACGCCAGCGGCTCCAAATCGCAAGAGGCGTTAATGTTAGTGAGCGTACGGTGAGAAGACGAATGGAGGAAGTGAATTTAAAAGCTCGTAGACCAGCACGAGGTCCAGAACTTCTCAGACAGCACCGAGTAGCCCGACTTCAGTTCGCAAGAGAACATGTCAATTGGGACCCACGAGCAATGGGCTAGAGTGTTGTTCACAGATGAGTGTCGAATAGCTTTACGTGCTCCAGACGGTCGAGAACGAGTGTGGAGAAAAAGAGGAGAGAGGTTTCTACCCATTACCACCACCCAAACTGTGAGTTTCCATGGAGGCTCAATAATGGTATGGGGAGGTGTAAGTTCCGACGCACGTACAGAGTTGGTCATCGTCGATAATCGGCTTACAGCTACTCGATACATCGAGGAAGTTCTTCAGGAGCACGTAATGCCTTATTCGGGATTCATTGGACACGACCAATTCCTCCTCATGCACGATAATGCACGCCCGCACGTCGCACATTGTGTAGAGGAATATCTGGAAGAGGTTGGAATACAAAAATTACAGTGGCCAGCTCGAAGCCCGGACTTAAATCCAATTGAGCATGTATGGGGTATGCTCAAAAGAAAGATAAAGTCCAGCTCCAAACCGCCACAAACTCTAAATGAGCTCCGAAATGCAGCGCTGGCCGCTTGGGACAGCATACCGCAAGTTGATGTCAGAAACATCATTCAAAGCATGCCAGATCGAATGCAAGCGGTTATCAGGGCTAGAGGAGGAAACACCCGATATTAAAACTGATAGACAATAAAGAAACAGACTTATGCCAACTGTATATAATACACTTGTACTTACATCCTAAAAATTTAAAATATCGTTTTGCTTTTAATTTTCAGGAATTCAATAAAATATACATAGACTTTTTATACTACTGCGTAAAAAAATAGTAGGTAAAATAACTGCAATTAGCACAATTGATGTGTATTATGATGTTTCTTGTTTTTTACTCTGTTGCGTTATTTACGTTGGACTTTAATTTTTTTGTTTCAGTACCACCCCAAGCACAATTTAATTCACGGTATCACGCCAAGGGAAGATTTTATGGTTAATTCAATACCGTATTTTAATTTAATACTCTCTTTGTCGTGATGTTTCTGTTACCTTTTCATTAAAAACTGTAAAATATTTGTCTCTTTATTTTTGATAATAACTAAAATTTGTTACGTTCTTTGACATGGGATTTATAACTCGGCAAGTTTTATAATATCCAACTAAATTGTAGTATAAAATACAACAAAGAAAAGCTTACTTTAAGACATTGAAGTAATATGTACTTACGTACTAGAACAGCTATCTCAAACAAAAAATGTGCGCTACTATGTGTTCGCGCGGTTGGTTTTCTTATCATAGAATAAACATAGGTAGACTGATCCGTAGGTAATATTAGATTACATTGTTAAATAGGTAAATTATATCGAGAACAATATTTAAATTTTGTCATTTATTTTGTATATTATATTTGCTTATTTAATATAATATTACATAATATTATATCACAATTACATTTTAATGATATTTTTATGAATATTTTAAAAGGTATCTACATCAAATATAAAAAAATCATACTAAATGTGTATTTAACAAAACGTATTAACATAACATTTAAATTAGAAATATATTTATTTAAATTAGAATAAGAGTCGTTCATAAATGCTGGACACGCGAAAGTTAAAAATGGACGAATTTATTCCACTTTGACTTTGATATGGAAACCTAAAAATAAAATAAAAGAATAATAAGCAGATTTAAACATGAAAAATTTAGCCTAATTATTATAACTTATATAAGTTTCTACAAAAAAAATGTGTATAAGAATATATTCGTCCTATACTTAAGTACCCACAGAAATGTCGCATCTGAACATATTAATTTCATAATCTATATTTCATGACACGAGATGGCGTCTTAGCAATAATTTGTTTTATTATTATTCTATAATACTTTTTTATTGATTAAGTATCTTATTAACCGATGAAAAGTAATTCCTTGGTTTTTACTGACATTTCTTGAATTATTTGTGCAATATCTAAGTACACACGACGGCATATTTTTATGAAGAGATTTTTTTTTAAACCACCACATCACGTGTCAACTCTACAAGCGCCTAGCGAATGAATGATTAAAGTGCGGTGTATGCACCGCAGTTGAGTGGAACATAGTAGCTGAATGCAATGTCGCCTCTAGTACGTAGTACGTAATAGCTCAATGCTTTAAGAGGTTAAATCAAAATTTCAACACGTTGTTTATTGACACGTAGTGTATTGACTTTTAAAACTTGCAAGTTATAAATTTAATGTCAAAAAACGTAGCAATTTTTTTAAATATATTTAAAAAAATAGGGGTGAGATAAAAAAAAATACTTTTTTTTATTAACTTTACAGGCTTTACGGCTCTGGTTTCTAAACCTTCTGAGCCTATCCTTTCTTTTGAAATCTTCATTTTATATTCTTTTTTTCACAATGGCTGCGTTTGGCAGAAAAAAGCGCTAGGAAGCGCTTGTAAGCAAAATGGCGATCGTAATCGGTAAGCGCTGTCAAATCGTAAGTAGCTATTTTCCTCTAGGACACGAAGTTAGCTTTAACCGGGGAACCTAACCTAATTTAAATGTATGTTTGTAAAGTATTAAAAACTTACCAATCATGAATTTTTAATAACATGTATAATATGTTTATTCGTGTCATTATATTACTTGAAACTAATATTGCACAAAACAACTTATAAACTCTACTTCAAAACAAACAAAGTAAATAAGCAAAGTGGCGAATTTTGTCAGCGCTACTGAAGTTAGCAAACGTGTCCTGGCCGAAAACTGTTTAGTTTCGCATTTTACGCTTACTAGCGCTTTTTGCGCTTACTAGCGCTTTTTTCTGCCAAACGCAGCCAGTATGCTGATGCGTCACATTGCGAAGCCCTTGGGAGATTTTGACGACAGCTCAACCTAGCGGACAGTTGATGACGACAGCCACTCAAGTTCATAAGGCGCCTAAGCGATCAAAATAACTTAAGGTTTATATCGACATCAAAGCACTTGTTTCGTCGTTTTCTCTAATAGTTCACACGCGCGGCTACTTAATTCACAAAATCGCATCACTTTTATGAATCAAAATGCACTTCAAACCATTATTCAAGCGACAAAACAGGAGCGACAATCCGTCTACGGCCAAGTTCCCGCCAAAACTCAAAAAAAAATTTTTTTAATCAGTATCATGGAGGTTAGAGAACAGGAGAACGAGCGCTACGTGCTAAAGCATAGCCCGCCTGTCCCTGAAAATTTGTAGAATTTATAGCCACGCTGCCGTCGGTAAGTAGTGTCTGCGAAGTAATTTTTTTAATTTGTGACTAAAAGAAACATTAAAAAATGGTGAAATATGATAAAAATAATAATAAATCAATAATAATAAATAATTTATGTTTGTAATAATTCATAACATTTATAATAATTAAAATTATAGAGACAACTTAGCGGTTGCAGCGCCTCACTTATTTTGTACACTATTTTCACTACTACACACTATTTTCTACAGCGATCGTTTTCCTGTTCTCTAACCTCCAAGATCAGTATTATTTATTGATGATCTATGTTATAAAAATCATTATAGTCCGTAGACAGAGAAACCTATAGACAAATTGACACCTTCTTTCACTTTCGCACACGAAAAAGATAGATTTATGCATACGTCTTGTATAGAAATGAGACAGAGCGATGTGATTGTTTGTCCCTTTCTCCGTGCCGGTTTTTTTGTTTAGCAAACTACACTTTGACAGTTCGTAGCGATCTAAGGATTTTACAATTGGTTTAAGTGAGAAAAAAGTGTTTTGTGAGCTTAAGATTGGTGAATCTTGTACAGTTCAGTTCCTAGAAAAATTAAAATTTTTATCTAAATATGTTTAAAAGTCATAAAGATTATTGTATAACCCAAAACTACGTTATCGTCCTTTCTCACTCCAGGCCACGCTAATCATTAGTCTATTGGTTTTTCTGTCTAGGTTATAGTGTCTTTTTTTCTCTGTATGTTAGAGTTACAGTCTATTATAAGTCCACTATAGATATGGCATAGTTGCCACGCTTGGGAAGCGGGTTGGCAACCGCAGTTTTGTTACAGTCGTTATTGGTAAGACGTCCATCTCCTGGGTTGCTCCCACAGAAATCTAAATAATAAGGCACTATTTTTAGATTTCTATGGTTGCTCCCCTTGACGCATCCGTAGTGGATATTCTTACACCGTCACTACTTGGTTCATTCTCTCTTTGTGTCAAAGGCTAATTATTTGAATGGACAAACAAAATTAGGATATTTCGGTTCTACAAAAAGTTCTGCGAAATTGGTATCCGTGCATTGGCTAGGATTTGAAATAAGTTGCAGATTCTAATGGAAAACTATTATTGACTCACAACAAACTGTTCTTTATGAACATTAATTAATACTAATATACTCGTATACCTATAAATAAGAATGTTTCCTTCTTTGTTTTGTAGGTGTTCTATACCATTTATCCGATTACCGTTACAGCTGAATAAAGTCGACTGCTGAACATAGGCCTCCCTCGTAAATTGCCTCATAGGGGATATTTGCCATGGTTGCCACGCCGGTCAAGCGGGTTTTCAGTGCAGTTTATTTTTATTTTTAGTAGTTATTAGGAAGTCGCTGCTGCCCATTTCCTGTTTGCTTTTTAATCTCTGTCAACTCTTACGTCACCTTCGGGACGATATGGGGTAGTAGATATTCTTATACCACCACTACACGGTAATTTATCCGACCACGATGAAACTTTGGTGAGTTGTTGCATGCGCAATGTTTTCCGATAGATAATAAGATAGTAATTAGGTAGTATTCATAAAGTAAATTTTAATAATCTAATACATAATAAGTTTTTAAACGTAGTATAGCCATGCTGTAGCTGTATTATGGTTTCACAGAACGCTTTTCCACGCTTTCACAGAATACCAGAGTAAAATTGTAGTTTAATGCTGCTGTGTTTCGTATGGTGAATGTCGAGAACCGGAAGAATCCTTTTTATTGGAAACGAGGGGTTTTTTATTTATTTTATTCTTTATTGCATCCTTAAACAAAAGAATACAAAGGGCGAACTTAATGAGGCAGGAATTCGACGTAAGTGTGGCAATATAGAATAAGAGAACACAATAAAATGATAATTAACTACATAATATATACAAACTACTAAACAAATATGATCTATCCTTACATGTATACAAATATATAAATAAATGCATATATATACAAGTATACATATTTACATACATAATTAGTATATACAAATAACTATGAATATATACGTCTGTACAATACAATAAAAGGCAATACATATTAAATAGATGAGTCATGTAAAATGCGTTGTCTTTAATAAATGATCACAGACCATCTATTTAAAAGCGTACTTATTGGGAGCTTTTCTGATGTCATCGGGCAAGGAGTTCCAAAGGCGTGTAGCCTAAACTGTGAAGGAGAGTAGTTACGTTGTACCAGTTCTGGCGCACTGAGTCAGAAGTGGAGGATCGTGAGTCGACGAACGTCGTACTCACTTCGCCCTGCGCACAGAGTCAAAGTGGAGACGTGAGTCGACGAACGTCGTACTTGTACCACTTCTGACTTAGTGCGCCAGAACTGGTACAACGTAACTACTAAGGAGTTACCATAGAACTCGGTAAAGTGAACTGGAGTACAGATTTTGTTGTTAGAAGAAGAGCGTAGGACCCTATCATGATATGAGGAAAGATAATGAAATTTACTCTTAAGATAAGAAGGCGAAGATGGATCATTTAATATGGAAAAAAGTACAAGCAATATTCTGGTGTTGCGCCTCTGTCGGATTGTAAGCCATTTTAGCTTGGATCTGTATAGCGAAATATGGTCATACTTATGAAGCCCAAAAATAAATCTTATACAGTTATTGAGGAGGCGTTCCAGCTTGTTCAGAAGATCTTGGGACAGGTCTGGGTTCCATGTTAGTAATCAGGGATGACAACGCAACTGCATTTTGATTCTTATTTGAGGATAAATATAGATGTTTAAAGGTCACAGCATCCACTT